TTTCAAGAAATACATTTCGATTTATAACCTTTATAATTGTGTGTATAAAATTTGACATTTGATGGTGACACACAGATTCCCCTATTGTATCATAGATGGCGCTTTATACAAATTTTAGATTTAAATCATTTTAAGATATTAATAAGTATTTGTCGTTTATAAACTTTTCTATACACTCATTAATTTAAGCACTCGCTGGCAAGCTCGCTCGTGCATACATTAATTTCGTGTATAAAATGACGTTTATCAAACTTGATACATAATATACTATTATCTATTTTGCGTTTATTATAACACAGCTTTCGGTGCTGTAATGAGATACTTTATCCGACCCAAAATTTTGATTTTATAGGTTGGCTATACTTTAAACAGCATAATATTTTGCATATTGGTTATAATATTTTTATGATTTTTCTAGTACTTACGAGACTTTTCTGGCAATAAATTTTGTTTAACACCAAAGAAAATCCTTTTTTTCTTCTTTAACATTAACAGCCGCTTATTGTAAATAAGAAAATTAAGGACGGCATGGCAAATCGATTTTGACATAAACTGTCAAACCAATGACTGTGATACCAACTATCTAAAGTAAAATTCGACTAAATTAAATTTAAGGTATAAAATTAACTTTTTTATGGAACTTTTGCAAAATAGATAAAATAGCATAAGGAACTCATGACAAAATGATGTTTAAAATACTATTTTATACCTATTTTTTGTTTTTGTTGTTGTTTTTGTCTGTCATGCTAAAAAAAAACATAAAAAAAAATTACCGATTTACCAATAAACAGAGGAAATCCTAATGAAGAAATAAATTGCATACAATCCCTGTAAATATAAATTGTACCTATTAGATACAATAAATCCACATTTTAATAATGATTTACGTGAAATTTGTAAACATGTAGTCTAAATTCAAACAGTTATGCATTATTGAGGAAAATCTCCACTCAACGGTAAAAAACAAAAAACGGGTATTGTATACAGGGTGTCACCTAAAAAATTTTTATTTCAAAATTTCTACTTTACTTATAAAAATTTTAATAATTTTTTCATTTAAAAAAAATGTTTCCATGAAATTATTATTTATAAGTTAATTCTGCTTCAACAAATATTGGATAAAATGATAAAAGACGTGAGGACGAATTCATGGCAACATAATATTATATATAATACATAATATAATACCTGTTTTTGGTTATTTACCGCTGAGTGAAGAGTTTCTCAATCAATGCTGTTACTAATTCATAATTTAAATATGTATTTATTTTATCTAATTAATATTTTGAATGGACTGTTTTTTGGTTTTAGCGTATAACCAAAAAATCAAAATATTTACAATTTACAATTTACAAAAATGGTGGTTTATAATCGACTATTTTCTCCATTTGTAGGGTCTATTAGTAATGTTAAATAAATGGTTCAAGTTTTATAAATTATAAATCAACTCAACAAATAGTCCCAGGTATTGAGCTATGGCGTGTAGCAAACATATTTATTGTAAAGTTTATCAATTTTGTATAGGACTGTATGAACTGTACATACTTACTACTCCTAAGAGTAAATATGGTAATTTAGTAATAATCTCATCTCATCCAATTTGCACATGGCTTTTATTAAGCAAGTGGAAATTTACAAAAAAAATTAACTCAACCGACACTCCAGTTTATTATGCGATTTAGATTGGTCTGCTGAGGAAAAGCATAATTGCCGTTTAAAAGTTATAAAGAGACCGTTTTTTCTGCCTTTAATCAATTTTGATTTGTTATTTTGTTATTAGTTCTGTTGTTAAGCGTATGTATATCACTTGAGTTCCTATGAATTATGTCTGTGGGCATGGTTTTGCAATTCATTTAGAACTCGTTTCGTTCTGTTAGTCGCTTATTGCCTATAGTGGGTAAGTTAGTTGCTTCCAAGCAACCGCGGTTACGGATTCAATTAGGCTTGCCTAGGTAAGCTAATACCCATTGTAAACAGATATAAATTTCGCGAAATATACACAACATTAAGTACTTAGCGGGGCATGGGTGGCCGGAAAAGCTGAGCAAAGCTCCCGCCTCTTTCCACAGACAACTACACTATTTCTTATTGTTGTGGAAAACAAAACTCCCTCAGGCAGCAGCTATTAGCTTCCGAAATTTACTTTGCAATTTCAATAACAAGCTGCAAAATAAACTTTCGACTGTTGGTGATTTCGGTTCTAAACTGAAAAAAACCTTAAACTAATGTAGTCAACTCTCTTTATAAAAAACTATTAGCGGCAAGAAACAATATTTTATTATGAAGAAAAAAGTTTTTAGTGGAAGAAGTATAGTTCTCTTGAAAACAAATACAAAATCTCTTGAATGTTTCTTCTTTCAACCAAGTGCAAAGTGATTTTGTTCAAAAGCTATGAAAATTGTTTATATCTACGCAATTCATTCAAGATACATCACAATTATCCCACTTCTGATACATGGGAGGGGATGCAAAACGCGCACACCGTTTGCGGCGCACGTGTTTAGTACGTTTTGTATCATTGCAACTTGCAATTCGCCATTTTCTACGGGCAGTGGTATAATATTATAATTCTATTATAGGTATTTCTAATAAACATTTTGCCGGTTGTGTTGTGTTGTGGCGTGTTGTATGTACTTTCACAGTGGAGTTGGAATCATTAAAACTCTTTTTAATTAAAATATGTAGGTAATAAAATTGTATGTTAAATTATATTTATGTTAGTTTATTGGAGTTAGTATAAAAAAACTTTTTCAGTCAATCTTCTAGTTTTCAACGATGCCAATATTTAGGCTTGAACTCCTCTCACTACAAAGATCCTTGATTTTAATTATTAAATGCATGTTTTAATTATTAAAATCAAAGGTGGTGAGGGGGATTTAAGCTTAAATACTAACAACGCTGGTAGTTTCAGTGAAGATCAGAAGCTTTTGAATAAAGCAATACATACTATTGGACCAAGAGATATATAGCAAATATTTGCTCTAAAATCAAAATAAAATGTGGTTAGGTCAATATTATTTGCTTTTTTTAGCAAGGCAAATTTTCTTTCTTAGAAAGTTCCACGGCTTTCCAATTCAGAGATGCAATTTTCTTGTTAAAATCACATATTGAAAATAAAAAATAATTTAGGTTAATAATCTGGGTTATTTTGGAACTCAAAATCTTGTTTTCTTTTACTCATTGTATCAACTTTTAAATGTAGGAAAGTAGCATACAACAGCGATATCACAACGAAAAATTTAATGTTTTAAACCTAACAAACTTTTGTAATTTATATATAAAGAATGAACAACTTTTTCCTTAAAATGTATTAAATTCATTTAATTGCATTAAACTACAATATACTCTACGAAACAAAAAGTTGAATTTTGCCACCTGTATACAGGTGAATACATAAACTGTCATCTTTTCTCCAAATATTATTTTAATACCTTATTTTTAGTATGAAATGGGCATATTTTAATGATTTTTGCTTCTAGGTAAAAAAGTAAATATTATAAGTCTTCTAAATGCATATACGAGGTGTGTTCAGAAAATAACGGGAATTGTTAAATTTCGCGGGTTCGGAGGGTCCGGTTGTCATAAAATTTACTTTATTATGTTGGTATACATGCCCCCGAAGTATGATAAAAACTTTAGCTGTTTTCATCGTTTACTTTGTCTGTGGCAGCCGCTAAGGTTAGACGTGTTTTATGAGCTCGGCGATTTTTCGTTCGTAAAAAGAAATGGATCAAAGAATTTGTATCCAATTTTGCTTATTTTCAAGTGGTATAAGGGTTTCCAAGATGGACGTGAAGACGTTGAAGATGACGAACGCCCCGAACGCCCAAGCACATTAACAACCGATAAAAACATGGAAAAAGTGGAAGAAATGGTTATAAACCATCAGAGAAGTCGCTGATGATGTTCGGGTATCGATTGGCTCATCCCATGAAATTTTTTGGAATGTTTTAGGTATGAAACGCGTGGCAGCAAAATTTGTTCCAAAATTGTTAAATTTTGAACAAAATTTTTGGCCAAAAACAATACAGCCTCCATATTCGCCAGACATGCCTCTGTCTGACTTTTTCCTATTCCCAAAAATAAAGAGAACCTTTAAGGGCCGTCGTTTTGCAAGCATAGATGACATTAAAAGCGCATCGCTGAAAGAACTAAAGGCTATCCCAAAGATCGAGTTTTAGAAGTGTTTCGAGTATTGGAAGAAAAGCTGGCACATGTGCATAATATCTAATGGGGACTATTTTGAAGGCGACAACATTAATGTAGACGAATAAATACATATTTGTTTCAAAAAATGAAAATTACCGATATTTTTTTAACATACCTCGTACTTGTTGACTAATTAGTCATTTATAGAGTTACATTTGTTGACATGTCAACTAGGTTTAACAAACAAATATTAGAAATTTGTTTAACACTTTACCAAAGTTGTCATTTTTCAAGAATATTAACTTGACCAAAATGTAAATGTTCCATTCTTATATTTGTCCAAAAAACGACTTTATTTTTAATATTCGAGCCCATTGCACTTAAATTACTCAACTAAGTGGTCGGCGATTCGAATATGTTTAGTTTGACACTTTTTGCATCCAGGTAGTCAGTTTTTAACTCCAATTATATCATAAACTGCTCTTGAAAAGCAAATTTTGATGGAAACCATCAAAATTAAACTATATTAATACAAAGAGGATTTTGTAATGAATAGTCTTATCTGGAAACCGCAGCAGCGTTTTGAAACCAATGCGTTTTGAAACATTGCGTGCATGAATTAACGTCATTAATGAAATATTAAATTAACCCAGTCTCAAACACAATCAATATTCAATTAATTTAGCGTTATATGCAATTGATCAAAAAACCTCTTAATACTCCTAATGCTTTCTAACCATCACTTAATACTATATAAGCAAATTAAATAGTTATCTTAAGTAATCTCTATATTTGTCAATACAGCGATAACTGTTGACCCAAAATAACCAAAACAATTTCAAGTTAGTTTGTTCGAGTTTAGCCAAGAAAATGTTTGTTTTTACTGCAATAATAGTTTTGGTGTTAATAAAAAACTCTCAAGAATTGTGCCAATCAAATTTGGGAGTTACAAGCTGCAAAAATGAAGTTTTAACCAACCGAGCACCCATCAGGATTAGTGATTATAGAAAGTTATTGCAGTTTGAAAAGGGACACATAACTGACATCACAAGTGAGGCTTTTAAGAATTTACCAAACGTGGAAAAACTGATATTGAGTAATAATTTGGTGAACAATATTCAACAGGGAGCATTTAAGAGTTTCTACAATATAAGTGAGATTTCCTTGTACAATAACAAGTTGGAAACAATACAGAGGGATGTGTTTACATCAAAGACCCTAAGAGTATTGGATTTGGGTATGAACAGCATTAACCTCATAGAACCCGAAGCATTCAAGACCCTGGAAAACCTGGAAGAGTTAAACCTTGCCTTTAACAAACTAAAGGCAACACCAAATGCTTTAAAATCCCTTACAAACCTGAAAACACTAAGATTGGACAACAACCAGCTTCAAGCCTTGCAACCAAAATCTTTCGAGGATTTACACTCACTTCATACCCTGGACCTCAGCAATAACAAAATCAACGACATCCAAGCAAACGCTTTCCAAGGATTGAGCAATTTAAAGGATCTCAACCTAAAGTCGAATTATTTATCCCACTTCGATACAGCTGGTTTATTAAACAACTTAAAGTCCCTCAAAACTATACATATTAATATTAATTCGTTTAAATGTAAGGACTTGATGAGGGTAATAAGCGAACTTGAAGCAAGAAGGGTTCAAGTGCCAAATGGCTTTTCAAAGTCGAAAGTCAGTTACAGAGGAATGTCCTGTATTAATTGAGTTTTATCCAATAAAAATTATTGAAATTATGAAGGTTTTTTCTATTTACCACTCAAAGTTCTTTTTCTCTAATTGTAAGAAAGCTCTTTTTATCAGTATACTATTCATTTTTAATATTTGGATTACATGAATTGTGAAATGGTCAATAAAATTGATTGATTTTATAACATTTAAATTATTTGAATTTGAAACGATCGCAATTTAAACTAATATTTTTAGCTAGATGATTGGCTCAGAAGCATGCCTGAACTAATTTAGACTCACGATTGGCGTTAGCCTTGTTGTCTCGTTCTATTACAATGGTTGTCTCCTTCTCTCGTATTAGCATACGCGAGGCAGGCACGCCTACATCCAAGGAAATAAGCAGGTGTTGTGGCAACACTGTTGCGGAATTTTAGATAAATTATACTTCACACGTTTTTCAAAATTCAATAATGAATGGTATTATTTTTCTTATAATAAATCGATTTAATCGAAATTATTTTTCTATTCGAAAATAAACATATTTTAACACTATCGCCATCCAGTAACCAATAAAATTAATACAGATTCCTTCTTTAGGTTTGTTTTGGTTATAAAATTCTGAACTGTTTTAAGAACAAATCTGTGGTTATTTACGCAATATTTTGTTTATTCTTTTTCTATGAGTTTGTCTATTTTATGATTCTTTTGTAAGTGGTTTATTCTGTGGGTTTAGTTAATTGAACTTGGTGATTTATGCGAATTTAGTCATTATGGATATTACGGTGAGAAATTGTACCGATATTGTTGACCTTCACGTGGTTCTTGCTGAACAATGAAATATTAATTAGACAAAAATGAGGTTTATTTAAAATAAACGTCATTTTTACAATAAAATATATTTCATTGACAAAGTAGAGGATTCCTTTCCCAGTTTTTTTAAGTTGGGTTTAAAAAAATTTCTTCGCCTTTAAATGAGGGCGAAAACCTGCCTCTGCCTCACCAAAATGAAATGTCACGGGCCGCCACTGCTTTTTATTCCTAATAATTTTTTTCGCGAAAACATTTTTCGAGCGTTAAATTTAACGATTGTTAGGGTAAGATTGATTTTGTTTTTTCTGATTTTCATTCAAATTAAAAGGAAATAAAAGGAGGGAATCTGCTTTATGTCCGAAATGGGACAGCTTCGAAATTGGTTTGAAACCAAATCGGCCATTGGCGCACCGAAATTTAAAATAGTTTTTGTAGGTTTCGGGTGATATGATTCATAATTTTTCTACTGCCACATTAATGTTTCAAAAGTTTATATGAACATTGTACTGACCTTTTAACTACGCCGGCAGTATAACTATAAAATTTCTAAAAAAAAAATTAAAAAAAAAACTAATAAGTGCACAAAAGGCACAAAGGTAGAAAAAGAGGACAAAAAAATTTATTTGAAAATTTCCTTTATTTTTCTTAAGTTTTCTGTAAATTTGGTAACACTGCTTCTGGCACGCCAGTGCTGGGTGCATCGTAGCGAATTCGACGGGAAATGAGGTAGTCGACGAAATCAATCGAACAATGACGTAGCAGCATCCGAACAACACACACAACTCTAATGGGCCTACAATACAGGAAATTAAAATACAGAAATGTATGTATGTGTTTCTGGTGTACCGACCGAACCGCAAATAATAATAATGCCCCCAAATGTCGAACCATTCCGTTCTAGAGCTGACCGTCGTCTAATAGAATTTTCATCCATGCATGTATGAATTAAGTCGATATATTTTAATAATGATCTAATTAACCCATATTAGATATTAGGCAAATATTTCATAAAAATAGTGTTGCCAAAAGATGGAAACGATGCCTGCTGGCGTTGATATTAAATCTAGCAAACTCGTATCCTTAAAAAACATTGCACACGGCGATAGAAAATTCCGATCGCGCGCGAGCTTCACAAATGAGCTTTTGATTTCCGACTGGTGAGGGATTAAAAAAATAAAAAAAAACGGGCCCCCATGGTAATTATCTCCGTTCTTATTGCACGTCCACGAGAAGATTCCCTTTTTGATAATAAAGAAACGAGTTTCATTCTTTTCCACCTATCAACAATATCCAGCTATATCTGTGCTGTGTATGCTGTGCAAGCGTTGTATTCGATTTTTCCATTCGTTTGCCAGGACTTACGGCCCCCGTGGGTCCCGACCCAAGATGGAACAACGCTCCTCGGTAAAAACTCTCCAGATTACAACGTTTCCTTGCTCTTCTTTCTATACTGTACAAGGGCATTTTGAAAAGTTCAAGAATGCAATTATACACATTTTTCATTATATAATAATAAAACCACAACAAAAAATCAGTATTGCTGTGTTGTGAAATGTAAATGCTGACTTTAAAGAAGAAAAACAAACCTACTTTACTTGCTACGGTCTGCACTTAATATAGTACATAATTTTGATGTAAGAGACTTGTAATATGTAAAACAACTAACCCGATTGTAAAGATTTGCATTGTTTGTGTAAAACAATAAATAAATTGTAGAATAATGCATTTGGTCTGTGATGAAGAACGCAACAATACTAACGACTGTAAAACCACTCCTTCTCTGATTGGTTGATTCAAGGTTATTAGTGTGTTTTGTCTTGGCATACCAAAACAACGTCGCTCTGGCTGGTGTACTGTATATTAATATAATTGCAGTTGAGTCCTAGTTGGGTGCCTAAATATTTATCTAGGGTTGAGTGTAGCGGTCAGAACTATTTACCCTAGATGTTAACAAGCCAAAATTGTGTGTGCGAAAAGAGCAATGGATCACTTTGTGGCAGATTTATTGAAATAATAGGGTTTTGAAAATCTTATAGAAGAATTTAAATGTAAGTTAACTTCATATTCTTAGCTTCCTAGTTCTAGTTGTACAAAAGCTAAAAATTGTATAAATGGGTTTTAGCTTTAAAAATCTAAAAACAACACCGCATTTTTCATGAAGACAATTTATAAAATAGAAAAAGTGGGAAAGAGTTCATTCCACTTAAAAATGTATGGAAAAAAAAAGTTTTGGACAACCCTATATAATTAATCTTTTAGGTAACAAAAGCAGCTGCAAGTGAACTGATAGTATTCATAAAATATTATATATTTTTTTTATTAAAATTTGTGATTATCCGTATTTTCAACACAACTTGGAAAGAAGATTCATATATTTACTATATTGATTTTGACAAGAAATTTCTTTGCGTGAAGCATTACGATAGACGCAATATATTTTCAATTTCCATATTTTTTATGGATTTTTTGTTATGGCTTGAGTAATGTGACACATAAAATTGTTTTGGATTTTTTTGTATACAGTAAGAAATCACTATTCAGGAAAGTGAATCTTTTTTATACGATACCTTTATTCATCAAATCCATTCTATACGAATGTATCCAAAATAAACCAATCAGAGCACACTTCTATGAAAATTAAATATTTTTATTAATTCCAAATAAAAACGTTATTGTGGGCTTTATTCTTAATTAAAACAATTTAGTACTTGGACCAAATAAATTTTTCTGCATGATGCATGCAGGATTAAGTTGATAATTATTTGTGAGGCGAACAAGAAGGCGTAGGACATAATAAAGTTTGATATCCCTCTGAAGAAGAAATTTACGAGACAAGCGTTTTTTCCTGCGAGAATGAAAACTAACATCTGCGCGACATTAAAATTTTCGGGCTGTAAATAAAGTTGGCAGAATTGTAATCCTGAATTATGATAGAAATATACCCTTCTTCTTATATATAGGATCTTTGAATCTTAAGAGATAAAATCTTCTCCTGCAAAAAGTTTGACCTACATTATTAAATACCAACATACTTTATACGTTAAAAACAATAAATCCTGCTACAGCAGGAATAAACGCCACATAGGATAGTACATGCACTTTAAGTAAACAGAAACTTAAAAATTAAACATCGCTATACAAAAGGTGGCCTATTTAGTCCTGCTGCAGCAGGACGAAACTGCAGGAGGGAGGTTTAATAAATATTTTTCTTAAATAAATAGAATAACAAATGGCGCAGGATGACAAAGGGGACAGCTGAGGTGGTCGCAGGAATATTTCCTGCTACGGATGACATTAAGCATAAGTTACGGCATCAGCGGCAAAGCGGCGGTAAGACGGCGGCTTATCCAAGCGCGTATACGCTTATTATAACAAGTGAGACAAGACGGTATAAACAATACCTTGCCGCTGCAGGATTACTCTGTCGCAGGACTAATAGATAAACGGACAATAATTATTACAAACTGCTTTCATTTTATCAGAGACCACAGCCGCAGGACATGTACGGGTCCTGTTGACAGTTATTAACATCTGATGATGCCGCAGGCGTATAAATCGCCCACTATATATATAGTGGTATATACAGGGCTTTTAACACGAATCCAGTGTTAAACAACAAAATGTGTTTTTAAGTGAACCCAAAAAAAAAAATCAAGTGGGGTTAAATCTGGAGCCCTTTTTGAGCAATTAGTAATGGTGAGCAGATAACTTTGGAATTTATTAAAAAATATTTGTTTCAGCGATGAGTCTACTTTTTGTCTAAATGGATTTGTATATATACAGCCCGTTCAGAGTAAAACCGAATATAGGGAAACGTTTTGGGCGTGGCCTCGCCTCCCTCCAACGCGCGTCACAGTAGCTTGTGTGATAAACGACATGACGAAAGGTCGAGCAGGTAAGACGACCTTAAAAATTAAATGATAATAATGCAAAAAATCTCATTAGCGATGCAGGCTATTTGCTTAGCTACTGTGTCGCGCGTTGGAGGGAGGTTTTCCTATATTCGGTTTTACTCTGAGCGGGCTGTATAACTATCATTGCGGTACATCAGCATAGATGTAGGTTATGTTTATGTAATAGTTCCGTAAATTTAAATATGTGAGTAGTTCATTCTACCGCAACAGAAACGCCTTGAAAAACCCTAAAAGAACCTCTTAATTAACAATAGACAGAGTGTTTATGAGCATCTAAATAAAATCGGACATTTTATTTGCACCGTAAACCTATATAATGTTAAGATCCAAAGAGCTCTTTT